TGATCGCCAGATATGAGACCTTCTCAGCTGGTTTCCAACAAGAGAAAGAAGTCCATTTAAATAAAATGACCTTTTGTCTTCCTCCTCTTCTGTATCTCATGGTCATTCTCTCGTATATATCTATTTAGCATTTTATCTAAGCGCGAATGTTTTTTTTTTAATTTCCCTTCATCCTGTGGTTGCTTCCCCCCCCCCTTCCTTCTTTCTTAAAAATCAGCCAAAATATCATCACCTTCAACACAATGGTTCTTCTGCCATCTTGTGTTCTCAACCTGAAATGACACCAAGATGCAACAATGCAGAATGGTGTTGCGATAGAAAAATATATACTGCAAGTAAAGCTTTAAATGCAAGGTTGGGCAAATCTTATTTCCAATTGTTGCTTGGCTGAGTTTTGTAGAATGTCCAAGGAATGAGAAGATAACGACGCCTCTACTCAAAATTATTTATAATTGGTTCAACATGGTTGCTCAGAATACATCAATATCTAAGATATGTAGATCAATAAATACATAGATATAGATCGATCTCTCTCTCTCATTTATTATCTCTCTCTGTGTGTATGAGTGTATCTGTGTGTGCATATCATCTACCTATCTATTTTATCATCATTATCATTTATCGATGGATTGATCATATTTATCATCTGTCTATTTATCTATCTCTGTCTCTTCTGACTATCTATCTGTCATCTGTCTGTCTATCGATCATCTATCTATCTCTATCTCTGTCTGTCTCTATCATCTATCTATCTATCTATCTATCTATCTATCTATCTATCTATCTATCTATCTATCTATGTCTATCTATCTCATCATTATCATTGATTGATTGATCAATCGATCGATCTATCTATCCATCTATCTCTATCATCATTAGTAGGCATTATTTGTAATTCAGACTGAGTTTCATATTTCACTTGAACCACTCAAAAGAAATTTTGTATAGGATGGTCCCTGAATGTATAAATCCTATCATCGCTTAATCTCCAATTCCAGAGGAAACTATAAATCAGCAGTTACAAATGGACCTTTTAAATTGAAATTTTAAATTAAATTAAATTATTTTTTAAATTTAAGATCTTTATTCTTTTAATGTTTTACATGGCATTTTTACTGAATGGTTGTAAATTGCCTCGAGTTGCCTTTGGTAATTTGCAGCATATAAATTAAATAAATAAGTAAATAAATAAATACGTACATTAAGTAAATAAATACATAAATACATAAAAGCTTGCTAAACATGTCTACTCTCCAGATGAATTCTAAAGCCATGCATTTTGTCCTGACTTCACCGCTCATTTTTCATTATTATTCCAACTCATTATTCATTCCATCTCAAGATCAAATGCAATATTGTGTTTGGCACTGCAAAATCGTGGCAGGAGACACCGTGAGTATTTCCCATCCTCATTTTTAAAAGCCAATTTTTAAAATTGAGCAGTGTTCAGATCAGTTTTATCTTCCTTTTTCTATCTTTTTATAAATCCAGAACCATCCACGAGTAATAATAATAATAATCAGCTCCAAAGCGGGAGAGCTGGGGTTGAAACTTGGCGGCTTCTGTTTAACGATTTTGTAAAAACAGAGTTGAATTGTGTTTGGCTTCTTGTTTTGCCTTTTTTTTTTCTGGTATGGAAGTTTTGTTTCAAAAATGGCCACTTTTCCCTGAAGTGCTCACACTAGAACAATCTGTGCTGCACTATTAGAGTTAATTATAGAGGATTTAAAATATCTGTTTTGGTTGGCAGTACATGATGCCCTGTTACTAGTAGGCATTGATTTGTAATTATCATTTATTCTCCACCTGTTCTTTCTTGAAGCTGTGAGCAGTAGTGTGCGTATGTGCATGCACAAGCACGTGCGTAGATGGACAAGGACAGCTAATTATGCGGAGGGGGAAGATTGGCTTGTTTCAAGAGAGGCCTTGACTATTTTCTCAACCACTAAGCCTGATGCCAAGGAGTCAACAACCTTGTTTGTTCGGACACAAAAATCAGCAGGGGCAACTTGGAGCTGAGAGCCAGTTTGGTCTAGAAAGCGGGAGCCTGTGAGTTCTAGTTTCACCTTGGAGATGAAAACTGGCTGGATGTCTTTGGGCTAGTCACCAGGAGACTGTGAGTTCTAATCCTATCTCAAGCATGAAAGCCAGTTGGGTGACTTTAAGCCAGTTACCAGGAGACTGTGAGTTCTGGTCCTGCCTTAGCCATAAAAGCAAGCTGGGTAATTTTGGGCCAGTCACCAGGAGACTGTGATTTCTAGTCCTGTCTCAGGCATGAAAGCCAGCTGGGTGACATTGGGCCAGTCATCAGGTGTTGGTGAGTTCTAATCCTATCTTAGCCATAAATGCCAGTGGGGTGACTTGGGGCCAATTACCAGGAGACTGAGTTCTGGTCCTGTCTTAGCCATAAAAGCCAGCTGGGTGATTTTGGGCCAGTCACCAGGAGTCTGAGAATTCTAGTCCTACCTTAACCATAAAAGCCGACTGGGTGATTTTGGGCCAGTCACCAGGAAACTGTGAGTTGTAGTCTTGTCTCAGGCATGAAAGCCAGCTGGGTGACTTGGGGCCAGTCAACAGGAGACTGTGATTTCTAGTCATGTCTAAGGCATGAAAGCCAGCTGGGTGACTTGGGGTCAGTCACCAGGAGTCAGTGATTCCATCCTACCTTAGCCATAAATGCCAGCTGGGTGTCTTTGGGCCAATCACCAGAAGACTGTGAGTTCTAGTCCTGTCTCAGGCATGAAAGCCAGCTGGGTGACTTGGGGCCAGTCATCAGGTGTCGGTGAGTTCTAGTCCTATCTTAGCCATAAATGCCAGCTGGGTGACTTGGGGCCAATTACCAGGATACTGTGAGTTCTAGTCTTGCCAATCACTCAATGGGATTTCCTCACTACCAGGTGACCCTCAGATGGGGTGACCAGTCAGTCACATGACCAACTGATTACATAAGACCAGTAAAAGCAGAAGAGAACTGAAACAAGGCTCTTCGACCCTTCAACCCAAGCTCTGCTGAAGATGTTACTTAGCCAGATGACAAAATGTTTCGAAACTAAACCATAAGCTTGGAGGACAAACTACCGCCAACATCTGCCACCCAAGCCACAAATATTTTCACCATTTCAAGTTCAATGGGTGCCTACATCTTCTGTGAAATAGCTTTTCCATTTTATAACCCTTACTCTTCAGCTGTATTAAATGGGCAGCCAGTTCTTTCGATAATCTTTTAATATTACTTGTGCTTGTTTTGACCTAAGAGGGAATCATATTTTCATTAAAAAGGGAGAGAAAGATGTAGACTCAATTTATGGTATAATTTTAAGGTAAACATTGGGTGTTCCAGAATATGGAGAGACATCAAATTTTAGGAAAGCTTGATGGATTTTTTTTAAAAAAAACAAAAAAACAAATATGTCCATAAGCTATAAAACGGATGGGTTTTACTAAGGCAAAGGGATATGAGGGGGGATTATTTGAATGCAGAACAACTTAAGTTTTTTTCCCCAAAGGTGAAAAGAATTTTGGAGAATTCTCGTGAATGGAAGCATGATGTTTTTGCAGTTATATGATAGTCAACATGTATGTTGTGGTTGCGTGTGTGTGTGTGTGAGAGAGAGAGAGAGAGACAGAGAGAGACAAAGACAGAGAGAAGGACGGAAGGACAGAAAGAAGAAGGTCTCTCTTTCATTGAATAACAAACTTTTAACCACCTTCCTGGATTCCTATCATACAGATAACAGATAATCAGAGTTGGAAGGGACCTTGTAGGTCATCTAGTCCAACCCCCCATCCAAGTGGGAGATTCTACACCATTTCTGACAAATGGCAGTCCAATCTCTTCTTGAAAGTCTCAAGTGATGGTGCCCCCACAACTTCCGAGGGCAACTTCTGTTCCATTGGTTGATTGTTTTCACTGACAGAAAGTTTCTCCTTATTTCCAGGTTAAATCTCTCCTTGTTCAGTTTCCATCCATTATTCCTTGTCTGGCCTACAGGCACTTTAGAAAATAGCTTGACCCCTTCCTCTCTGTGACAGCCCCTCAGATATTGGAAGACTGCTATCATGTCTCCCTTAGTCCTTCTCTTTACTAGACTAGCCAAGCCCAGTTCCTGCAACCGTTCGTTGTATGTTTTAGCCTCCAGTCCCCTAATCGTTCTGGTTGCTCTTCTCTGTACTTTTTCAAGAGTCTCAACATCTTTTTTATAATGTGGTGAACAAAACTGGATGCAGTACTCTAGGTGTGGTCATTAAATCTCAAGAGACCTCCTCTTGAAATAAAATTCATTGGTTATTTCTTGTTTTGTTTCTGAATGCTCCTACTCATCCATGTTCCCGAGAAGAAAAAAATTCAACTAAATTTGGTTGAAAAATTTAGGAAGCCCACTTGTGTTTGTTACAGAAGGATAGCAGAGCAATACTCAAATTTTCTAGGTAGGACATGAAGTTTCCTAATGCAAGAGATGAGAACTCAACGGTGACTCCGTCAGATGTTGTTTCGTGAAACTTTAACTTGAGTAGAAATAGTTTTCAAAAGGTCACGTAAAATGGTCCTCACTTGATCAGATGGTTGATGCTTTCCCCTGCTTTCCTAATTGAATGATACGTTCTTCTAGGATCATCCAGCACATGAGAAATACAGTGTCCTTACTTCCCAACCACCTGGCATGTTTGTTTGTTTATTTTTAATCCATCTTTATTATTTTTATAAATAACTCAACAGAAAACTTTTTTGACTTTCAGTAAAAGTATACCTTTCCCTATGGAATGGAGTCGAGGGTCTTTCTTTTCTAAAGAACCAAGTTGGGGCAGGACTGACAGCGATTTTACATGGTGAAGTGCATCTGCATGGATGGCAGTTTTATCCATCATTAGTGCAATCCCTAGTTGTTGTTGTTGGGTTTTTTTTTTGAACCGCTCAAAAAGATCTTTTCAAACTACTTTATCATGATCAAAATTTTCTTCTCCCGGTTCCTTCATGTTTCTTTTTCCCTTCTATCTTCCAGAAGTATCATTATCAAGATGAAGATGCACCCCATGACCATACTTTACCTCGTTTAACCCATGAAGTGAGGGGTCCAGAACTAGTCCACGTTTCTGAAAAGAACTTATCGCAGATAGAAAATGTCCATGGATATGTTCTCCAGTCGCACATCTCGCCTCTGAAGGTCAGTAAAGCTCCTTCTCTGATGTAAATGAAAACACAAAGAAAAGAGGTATGTTTTTGTCTGATGAGAATGATGGACAGGTAGACCTCAACTTACGACCATCCGTTGAGCGACCATTTGAAGTTACAATGCTGCTGAAGAAAAGTCACACTTATGACCATTGAAACATCCCCCACGTGTTCAAAATTCAGGCGCTTGGCAACCGGCATGTACTTACGACAGTTGGCGTGTTCCAAGATCATGGGATCCTTTTGTGACTTTCTGGCAAGGAAAATCAACGGGGAAACCAGATTTACATAACAACCCTGTTATTAACTGAACAACAGCAGTGGTTCATTTAACGTCTCTGGCAAAAAGGTTGTAAAATGGGGCAAAATTCACTTAACAACCATCTCACTTAATAACAGAAATGTTGAGTTCAGTTGTGGTCGTAAGTCGAGGACTACCTGTACAAATTGTAACCGTTTTTGAGTGTGGTTAAGCTCTGAGAAATCTTTAATCTGCGACAGGTTTTGTTCCTGTTCTCTATAAAAGCTTTGTTTTGCAGAGAAAGGACGTAATTATGTGAATAGATATTGTCGAGAAGAGAATGATCTTTTCCAGTTTCTAAGCTACGTTACGGCAATCTTTCAAAATTTATCTTACCAGCTGAAAACAGCCAGACTCTTTGCGTCTTTGTACAGAAACCAGACAAGATACAAATCAAAATTAAAATGAGGTTTCAAATTGCAAAACTAAACATTAAGAAATGGCATCGCGTTCAGTCGGTTCCCTCAAAACCACATCTTCACCAGCTTCTGGAAGGAAATAAGGGTGGGGTTCGTGCACACTTTGGGTGCAAGCCAATTGAAAACAGGGGGCTTGTTGTGGTTAGCGGCAGCGGGTGCAGACGGCTGAGGAGAGCGAGGACTCAGATGAGTGGCCAGGACCATCAGGGAGTGGACTGCTGCCTTCAGAGATTGTGGGGGCTGGCAGCAGCGATGAGGAGGTTCCCGAGGAGCCTGTGCCAAGTGCACGTGCACGAAGGATTGCTTGGAGGAAAGAACAATTACAGCACCACAGGCAACTCGGGAGTAAGGCAGCAAGGTAATAGCCCCTCCCTGAAGAGGATAAAAGCCAGGTTTGAAAAAGCGCTCTTTGCAGACAGCAAAGAAGCTCTGAAGCTCAACTGGTGGACATCTTAGTTCATGCAAATTAGTTCTTATCACTGGGTTTTTGGTAGCCTTGACAAACAACTGGGCAAGGCTCTTGTTGGAGCTAATTAGTGGAAAACAGCCTTCAGAACAGAATTTGTTATTAAACCTTAAAAGTTGGGGGCTGCTGCCTTTGTCTGGGAACCCGGTTAGGTCAGAGCAGGGCTGTTTATTTTGTGGTAGACCTTTTTTTTTAGAAAAGTTTTTTTTTAATAACAAAAACAACAAATAAAACCATCTTTCAGTTATACAGTGTGTCAGTTGGGTACATATAATATCTTGTGCATATAATAATATTGGTATACATTTCTTATTGAGTTTGCATTCATATTATATTGTAGTCAACATCATATATCCTCTTATATCATTATTCCATTGTCATTAAGTTTTTATTTCAATTTCAAAGTGTTCTTAAAGGCAAATTCCAAATCTTACTAAATTATATTCATATTAAAGCTCATTCCAAAAATAATCAATTTTAGTATATAGTTACTTGTTGTGGCTCTGGGCTTGGATTCAGCTCCTGTGACTGATATGAGTTCAAGTGAGGAGGTCATGGCAGAAAAATATGAGCCGGCATGGATTAGTGATTGGACTGATAACCAGGATGAGGAGATGGACGTGACAAAGGACGACAGACCTGATGTATTAGAATTGTCAGGACCTTTGACCTCCTCTGGTTCCTTATCTGATCAACAGCCGGGAATGGCTGACAGGGAAGTTTTGAGAGAGTCTTCTAGTGGAGATGAGAACTTGGAAAATTTGTGGTTAAATGTAAAAAATAGAAGACGGTTGAGAAGGCAAAAACAGCTGGAGCGAATGAGGAGAGCAAGTCAGTAAATTAGCACGTTGCCTCAATGAGTATAAAAGGACACAGCTGGGCTGGTACATTTTGCCAGGAACAAAGTGACTATTTGAGTGAGGACGTTACAGCAAGAAGCTCTGAGACTGGAGATTTATTGCCAGGACTGGTTTGCCGGACAGAGTAAAGATTTATGCTGTGAGGTTTCTGCCAGCCGTTATCTTGTAAGACTTCTTTCCGTTTGATTTAATTGTGAAACGGCTGCTTTCTGTTTTGTTCGTTTGAATTTTGAAGGGGAGTCATAACAGTTACTAATGCAATAACCTTTAATTTCTAACTCTATTTTTTAGGCACCCACAGAATAACTCCCAAATCTTATAGTATTCCTTTTATTCTTGTTCTTTAATTGCCAATGTCAATCTATTCATTTCTGCACATTATTTTCTTCTTTAAAATATTTTATTTTTTTAAAAACAAAAATACAAATCTCTATTCACATTAATGGTGTTCATGTCCTTATTAATACATACATCTCATTTTATACCTAAACGTCCACTCTTATTTCAATCCTCCGTTATTTTCTTAATCACCTCCTCCTCCGTTGGAATTTTCTCATTTTTCCAGTTTTGAGCAAATACAATTCGAGCTTGGTAGGCGTTATTTTGTAGGTAGGCCTTATTTTGTGATAGTCATGGATCCTTAGCAGGGCCTCCCTATTTTTCAGGTAACAATGGTGGAAATTAGGAAAAAGGCAGGGTTGTCAAACTTGATTTCATTGAGGGCCGCATCTGGGATGTGTTTGACCTCAGAAGACCAGAGGTGAGTGGGTGTGGCCATGGTGGGCATTTGACACAGGCACAAGATGCATTTTCTCCGCTTCTTTCTTTCCGCAGTTCTTTACTATAACCGTTTTCCTATCTTTTCTACCAGATATCCTGCAGCATTCTCCCAGCCAAAAAGGGCCATTGGGGGTGGTGGCGCCCCCCCTGGGCCCATTTTTGGCCAGCAGAGGCACCATGGACTGGTCCTTTGATACTTCCAGGCCGGCCCCATGAACCAAATCTAAGCATCTTGTGGACCAGATTCAGCCCGTTGGCCTTGAGTTTGATAACCCTGCTCTAAGATATCTGGACCCCAAACATATAGAGCAGAGGTATCCAACCTTGGCAATTTTAAGACCTATGGACTTCAACTCCCAGAGTTCCCCCAGCCAGCATGGCTGCTGGGCAGAGGTGGTATTCAGCAGGTTCTGACCAGTTCTAGAGAACTGGTAGTGGAAATTTTGAGTAGTTGGGAGAACCGGCAAATCCCAACCCTGACCGGCCCCGCCAACCCCATCTATTCTCCACCTCCCATTGAGTCCCAGCTGATCAGCTGAGTCTTCTTTTGTTGCCCTGCACAGGAGAACGGAGCTGGAAAGCAGGTTAGTGGGGTGGGGAGGGAATGGGTATTTTGCAGTATCAAGTGACGCCCACAGAACCGGTAGTTTAAAAAAATTAAATCCCACCACTGCTGCTGGGGTATTCTGGGAGTTGAAATCCACAGATCTTAAAGTTATTAAGATTGGACACCCTGATATAGAGAGATTCTATAGGCAGCAACAGCTGTTGTGGCTGGGTCAGAACAATAGCATCTTGAATGGCACTTGGAAACCTGCTAGTAATTCCATGTAGAAAAGGCATAATGGGGTGATACTGAGACCAACCACCAGGCACCTTTGCTGTTGCACCTTGGACCAGCTAAAGTTTCCAGGTGTTCTTCAAAGAGCAGCTACAATGAGTAGTGTTAATCAAATTAAGAGTTAGCAAGAGCATGTGTGACATCTTCAATGGATCCTGTTCCAGGTAAGACTGCAGCTGGTGCACTTCCTGGACATAATTTCTACCTGTTCTTTAAGTAGGAAATGTGATTGCAAGAGGGATGTCCTTGGTTTGCCCTCATCAACCCCTACAGAATCATCATCCCTTTTTTTGCTGTAGGGCAAGGTTCTTCAAACTTGACAGCTTTAAGATTTGTGGACTTCAACTCCCAGAATTCCTGAGCTAAGATGACTGGAGGAGGAATTCTGGGAGTTGAAGTTCACAAGCTGTCAAGTTTGAAGATCCTTGCTTTAAAGCAAAAAAAAAAAAAATCAACTTTATTAGCCCGCTGCAAACTCTTCATCCCTGCCATATTATGATGGAACACTAGATGGTGCAATGAACTGGCAATCTTTTTAATCCAGGGAAATCGTTTTGATACCAAGAGTTGATAAGACAAACTAGGAAGAAATCGTAGCAAGAGAAGATGCATGTCTATCATGCGTCTCCAGCAGTGCTTTAAAGACGGTGAGGTGTTTTTGCGGTCAAAAGGGTGGGATTTATTCGGTACAAGGTTTGGCTTGAAGCGGGACGGGGGGGAGATGTCCAACCATGTCAACCTTAAGACTTGTGGACTTCAACTCCCAGAATTCCTCAGCCAGCGATGCAGATTCTGGGGGATGCTGGCTGAGGAATTCTGGGAGTTGAAGTCCACAAGTCTTAAGGTTGACAAAGTTGGAGAACCCTGGGTTAAACCAATCATGTAGAAGACAGAAAATTGAAAACTTCTTTGAAGATGCATTGAAGACTGAGATGAGTGGAGTGGAGTGGAGTGGAGTAGGGTAGGGTAGAGTAGAGTAGAGTAGAGTAGAGTAGAGTAGAGTAGAGTAGAGTAGAGTAGAGTAGAGTATAACAGGAAAGAACAGAATAAAATAGAGCTGAAGGGACCTTAGAGACCTTCTAGTCCAGCCCCCTGCTCTGCCAGGAGACCCTATACCATTTCAGACAAGTGGCTGTCCAGACTGTTCTTAAAATCCTCCAGTGGTGGAGCGCCCATAAGGCCAGCTGTTCTACTGGTTAATTGTCCTCACCATTAGGAAGTTTCTTCTTAATTCCAGGTTGCTTCTCTCCTTGATTAGTTTCCAACCATTGTTTCTTGTCCTGCCCTCTCTGGTGCTTTGGAGAATAATTTGACGCTCCTCTTCTTTGTGGCAGCCCCTCAGATATTGGAAGACTGCTATCGTGTTGCCCCTAGTCCTCCTTTTCTCTAGACTAGCCAAACCAGACTGTTGAAAGGAAAGATCAATTACTCTCCATGTCTGTCCGTTCCCCACATACCCCCTCTGGATTCCTATGATCATGTCATGGGGTGGCTTGATGGCTGAAAAGGTATGGGCAATGGGAATGAATGCATTTTCACTCCCCCACCCCGTTTCAAGGAAAGTCTTTGCAAGGCCCCCAATTCATCTGCAATTTAAATACTGCAGTTCATAATGATCTCTCGTTCATTCCCTGTCTGATTAAAGCACCATCATCTCCTGTCCCTCCGGGGAAGAGATCTAATCAGTTGACAGCCTAACAAACATTGCGTTTGCTAAAACGAGACCTGAGGATTTGTAATCATAGGGTTGGCGTTTCCCTTCTCCTTGTCCTTTCTGTGTATCGAGATCGTAGAAAGTTTTAGCACCCACCCCTCTTAGAAAAATGAAATATTTTAGGGGATATTTTTAAAAGGCAGAATAGTCTCATCACTCCTTATCACCCACCCACTCCCACTTGTGACTCTATGACTGTAGCTTTGTCGCTTGTATCCTTACGATTTATATTGACTGTTTCCTAGTATGATTTTGATTGCTTATTTGTACCCTATGACTATCATTAAGTGTTGTACCTGATGATTCTTGACTCTTGACGAATGTCTCTTTTCTTTTATGTACACTGAGAGCATTTGCACCAAGACAAATTCCTTGTGTGTTCAATCACACCTGGCCAATAAAAGAATTCTCTTATATATTAAAAGAGAAATAGAAATCTTAAGGGAGACAGAAACTCAGACCTTCAGCTCCCTGCCCTCAGCAGATATTTGGTGCCCGTTGAGAAGGATTGGGCCAGCCTGTTCACAAAACAAAACACCTTCCATTCAAGGTGATGGGATGAAGGTATGACCCTCCAGGACATTATAGGATTATCTAGCAGCAGGGTTCACTGCATTGCAAAATCGAAGGACATTGCATCAGCCCAAGGTTCAACCAAACTTGATTCAGACAAACATGACCTCACACGGCCCCACAAGAGTCTGACAGCAGCCAATAGAATACATTTTCTCGCACAGGAACAGTAAGCTGAAGTTCAAATCCCAAGAGAGGATATAAATAACCCCGTCTCTCCACTCCGTGTGTCAGCTGCACCAGAGAACCATCTGCTTGATGCCTCTGCTCTATTAAACCAGGGGTCCCCAATCACCAGGCCCCGGACCGGTACCGGTCCGTGGATCATTTTGTACTGGGCCTCCTACTTTGCTTGGGCGCCGCCATCTTGTTTCGACAGCGCTTGAGAAAGTGCTTCTGGGTGAGCTTGTCGGTCGTCGGTTGGATGGAAAGCGGCGTTTGGGTGCTGAAGGAATCCTCGCGCCTTAGTTTCATCGAAGGGGGGGCGGCTTTGAACGAAGAGCCATCCTGATGGCGGTGGAGTCTCGCTTTACTCAGGAGGAGATTAAGAAAGAGCCCGAAAAGCCCATCAACCGCAAGAAGGTACTAAGGAGGAGTTGAAGGTGGCGGGGAGAAGCGGGGGACGGTTGGCTGGCCGGTTGCTCGGCTCGCCTTGCCTTGGTCGTGCGTGCTGATGCTTGTACCGGTCCATGGATCATTTTGTGATGCTGGTACCGGTCCGTGGTACAAAAAAGGTTGGGGGCCACTGCATTAAACCATCTTTCCAATCCGCCTTCAGGTTTCCAGTGTCTTTCTTCCCACTTGGGACTGAACCAGACGGATATTTCTTCCAATGGGGTGGTTCTCCTTAAAGTGAAGGTTTAGTCGGTCTGGCAAAACTGTATTCTGTGGAGTAACTGACCTGTTGTTATTGACAATCTCAAGGTAGAAAGAGGAAAAAAAGGTATTTTTCAATGCCCAACGAAAATTGGGACTGGAATTTCCATTGCTGAGCGAAGCAGTTCTAAGTGAGTTGTGCCTGATTGTACAAATTTTTTTTTTTTTTTGGCCACCATTAAGCAAATCTTTGTGGTTGTTAAGAGATTTAACAATGATTTTTAAGAGAATCCGGCTTCTCCCCGTTGGCATTGTTTGTCAGAAAGCTGGCTGGGAAGATTGCAAATTGCAATAATCGGGATGCTTCAGCTAATTGTATAAATCCATGCTGGTTGCCAAGCAACTGACATTGATCGTGGGACTATTGGGATGCTTCGTAAGTGCACAGACTGCCATTATAAGTTTGAGCAGTCACTAAATGAATGTTTGTAAATTGAGGACTGTCTGTGCTAAATGGAGAAACCACCTCTAGTGCTGTCAGTACCCTCGACATCCCAAAGGTGTTTCTTCAGGAGGTAACTGGACTTCCTTGTTTTTCTTTGAAGACGTTTCACTTCTCATCCAAGAAGCATCTTCAGCTTCTACCATAGACTTCACTCCATTCCTAAGAGGTCTGTAAGGGGGCGTGCATAAGCTCACCAGCGTGCCTACCGTCCCTGTCCTACTGTTCCCATTTATTCATAGTCATTTATCATGAGTATGAATAAATGGGAACGGTAGGACAGGGACGGTAGACAGTTTAAGATTAAAGTTTTGGGGGTTTGAGGATGTAACCACAGAGTCAGGTAGTGAGTTCCAGGCATTGACCACTCTGTTGCTCAAGTCGTATTTCCTGCAATCGAGTTTGGAGTGGTTTACTTTGAGTTTGTATCTATTGTTTGCCCGCGTGTTATTATGGTTGAAACTGAAGTAGTCATTGACAGGTAGGATGTTTGTAGCAGGCAATTTTCTGTACTAACCTTAGGTCAGACTGTAGGCGGCATAGTTCTAAGTTGTCTAGGTCCACAATTTCAAGCCCGGTGGCATAAGGTATTCTATTGAGAGTAGAGGAGTGGAGTGCTCTTCTCGTGAAAATTGGACTCGTTCAATTGTATGAATGTCTGCTATACAGTGTGGATTCCAGGCAGATGAGCTGTATTTGAGAATTGGTCTGGCGAAGGTTTTGTATACGATAGCAGGCTTCCCAATATCTAAGGAATTGCCGCAAAGAAGAAGGAATCAACCTATTCTCCAAAGCACCTACGGCAGGAGAAGAAGCAGCAGTGGATGGAAACTTAGCAAGGAGAGAACCAGCCAGGAACTAAGGCGAAATTTCCTGAAAGTGAGAACAATCAATCAGCTTGGCAACTGGTTCATACTTATGACCGTTGCTATGTCCCCAGGTTATGGGGACAGGGAACCAGATTCACTTAACCCCCAGGTTACAAACCTATTGAATGCAGTAATTCACTTAACAACCATGGCAGGAATGATTTGGGAAATGGGACAAAACTCACTTAACAAATGTCTCACTTAACATAAATGTTGGGCATAACTGTGGACGTAAGTTGAGGACTACCTGCACTGAGAAAGAAAGGAAAAAAGAAATTGAAATGGCCAGGTGCATGGCACGTGTTCTTGTCTCCTGCCAAAAAGATGGGAGAGACAGAGAGAATATGATACAAAAAAAGATGTTGAGAACTTAGAAAAGGTCTGGAGAATAATAATAAAGGTGATGGAAAGGAAAGGAAAGTAAAGGAAAGGAAAGGAAAGGAAAGGAAAGAAGGAAAGAAAGAAAGGAAAGAAGGAAAGGAAAGGAAAGGAAAGGAAGGAAGGAAGGAAGGAAGGAAGGAAGGAAGAAAGAAAGAAAGAAAGAAAGAGAAAGAAAGAAAGAAAGAAAGAAAGAAAGAAAGAAAGAAAGAAAGAAAGAAAGAAAGAAAGAAAGAAAAGAAAGGAAAAAAGGAAAGGAAAGAAAAAGAAAGGAAGGAAGGAAAGAAAAGGAAAGGAAAGGAAAGAAAGAAATAAAGGAAAGAAGGAAAGGAAAGGAAAGGAAAGAAGGAAAGAAAAGGAAAGGAAAGACAGAAAGGAAAGATGGAAAGGAAAGGAAAAAGGGAAAGAAAGGAAAGGAAAAAAGGAAAGGAA